GAATCAAATAAACTTTGACTTCATACTCACGATTACCTGTCATATAAGCAGTTTGTGAAGACTTGGGCGAACGTATAGACAACATGCCAGTGAACGTACTGTCATTCAGTGTGATTTATATTTCTTTAACTTTTAGGATATATCAAGATGAAATAGATACCTGGTGTGGCTGTTTTCAGTTTCCATAGATTGATTTTGATTATTGAATAACCGTGATCAATAAACATTTCTTTAATATCTCACTGCACTGCAATCATGTCATAGTTGGTGCCGCTACATGCATCCTCCAGGGGTGTTCTCAATATGGTCAGTATATCATAGCTTCATGCAGAATAAATTTTAATGACTAGCAATTAAATCCAGGATTACCTTTCCATTATGCAACCTGTGTGACTTTTAACAAATCATCCAGCTTTTCAATTGTTTGTCAGATTATTCAAATCAAAGCTCATCAAATGGACATTGCACGAATACGCGATACCATATTATCTTTCACTTTGATCAGTTTATTATACAGGTGCAGTCTTGTTAACTTGCATAACACGTCCATTTTTGGAACAGGTAAATATCAATTGAATAGATCAAGTGATGAGGTTTTGTTGTTATTCATGCTCTAACTGTGTAAGTCATGTTATGAGACCAGAAAGAATGCAAGGGTACATTCTTATTGCGAGGTCAAATAAAAGTTCTTACAGTTATCAAGGTAACAAAACTAGTCTGAATGAAGGACATGATACACTAGTCTACATGGAATATCAATTATGATTATCATGATTTAAGGAAATTTATAAAGAAGCAAGTACATTATATGTTCAGTCTTGTTGCAGTGTTGAATCGTAATATGAATACTGAGCAGTTCGTGACGAAACAATTGAACTGAATAGTGACTTTCCATGCATTCAGATCAGAAATCGACGTTCTACACTTTTGCTCCAGGTTTATTTCTAACTTCGCAAAAATATAATCATCACTTTTTTAACTTGGTTTCAAGTAAACAGTTTGTATTGGTGCAACGACACGAGGATATACTGAGAAACATTTTACATTTTTTAAATAGTGGAGTCTTTTGCAGAAGAATGTCACCAGCCGTCAACCATCCTTACTACAGGTTGATCTCCTTTTGGGTTAGGGACGGTTTTAGAGTAGAGTTGTAAACCTGTTATTTTCACTTCACCGCAATTAAGCAGGAGTAAACAAGGATATTCACAGACTGAGAAGGAGGTTTTAGCTTTGCCATGAAGTATGAGAAGACTGCATCAATACTTGTTCGATTTAAGGTTGCTTACTGTAACTGATTATCAGGCTTCAACAATCATCTATCCCCTGACTAAGACACTCTATCGATCATCTGCAGCCACGATTCAGAGATGAAATCAGGTGTCCATGATTTTGCTATCTAGCTCCGAGGGGTTAAGAGCATGCCACATGCAGACTTCCTACCACAGTCAGGTCAGTTAAAACATAGAACTAGTTACATGCAAACAGCAGTTCAAGTTGTTATATCAAATTAGTAGAGAAAGATGGGACTGCAAATTCATATCCAACGGCTTTAGAGGATTTAGCAGTATTGGTGATGACCGAAAGGATTAGTGATCAAACATGTAATTCAAGACTCAAATTCCAGTGAAAAAATGTCATGAGGAATTCATGAGGCTAGAATGTAAGTGGAGAAAAATATGAATGCACCTGCGCCACTGTAAACCATTCTGAGCCATGTCATTCAAAGTCTTCAACGACCACTTACGATTATTATGCTGAACCCGGGCAGACAGTCTACATCTACTGACATGGATCAGTTCGGTTTTCATTGACTTGATGTTATTGTCCAATTGACTTCGACGCCTCCAGCTTTCTTCCAAACTACCCCCGCATCAGACTACATCGCACGTTGATAGAGTCAGTGAATAGGCACAAGTAACACGTCTACCAACCACCTCAACTGACGAAGATTTACCAACTAATTTACTATCTATAACCTGCACCCTTTTCCTAAATTAGTATCACTTACTAGATTGTTTCGGGATATTAGACCAATGGTTCAACGAAAGCAATTATCGAATACTAGTAACCTACACATAGTCTCTACTCTTAGTCGTAAAGTAGGCTGGAACGAACTCCTACATAGTAAACTAGTTCTTCCGTTAGTATGCCGATACCTCATATACTCCATCAGTAACATAAGTTGAAAATAACCAATAAAGCCTTCTGTCTCCCTGTCGAGATTTCAACGGACACCAGGCCTCAAGGATGAATGAGACTCTCACTATAAGAGAAGCGGTCAACATGCTCAACTACTTCACTCCCTATGACTAGTTCTGGTGCCAATGCAAGCTAAGGAACAGTTCAAATTCCGAAAAAGATAATCTTTCCTGGAACATGCATGAATTGTAGCTAACAGTGGTCAAAAGACTCTCCAATTTGTCAGCGTCTTAACTAAATTGAACTGTGACATCAGCATATTATAGGTCAACAATTGTGTCGCCTGATAGAAGGTCAGCTAGAATATGAGACAATAAGAAAGCTGTCTCCAAAATGATTTGAATTAAACTGTTAAATAGGGACTGGGGAAGTGGAAAATTCTAATGAACAAAAACTCGAATAATCAACTGGGATTACAGTTCAACTCAGAACCTCATCATCAACAGAGCTGAACGTCACCCTAAGGCCAAGGAAGACAACAATTGTCGGACGTCGACGCGTGGGAATATATGGTCTATACATCCACGTAAAGGTTTGAAACCAGCTGATTTTATCGCGTCTGCTCTTCACGAGCACTGGTAAGGAGTCGAATTTCTATTGAAGCTGATACTTTGGACACTGTTTTAGTCAAACTGATTCCTCCGTAACTGTCATAAGACTTTTGTCCTCCATTGTAGACTGGATAATTAGTGATGGAGACCAGTCAGTTCAGGTTAGGTCCAGTTTTTGAGATTCTGCCTAAGATCTCAGTTAGTCTGACGTCTAAAACCTGGCGAGATGGGTGGTTTAGGAGTTGTTGAGGGATAGTTAAACTATTTTTGAAAGTGATCTGCACACCAATCCAATCTCCTGGATTAAAACTAAATAGTATATCTCGCTAAAACTAGGGTTCCTATTCCGCTTTACTTGATATGTTGGGAGAGTTGTCTACTGCTACCTATAGCTGCTGCCTTTTCCATCTCTATTGCTTTTGTTACTCACCCATGTTCAAGATCATCGCACACGCGTTTCATCACCCTGTAATTAATTTGCCTCTATCACTCGTCGTCCTTACAGCCAGATGTGATATGTTTTCGAGTATCTATCAGTCCATTGGATGCTAATGCAATCCACTAATTTCTCCTAACCATTTCGTTTACCTCACCGATATATATCACGCCTGCCTAATTAGCTTTTCGGATAACATTTCAAGCTGCTCGGGGTGGGTATCATTAATATGGCTACCAAACCATTTTTCAAGTTGCTCCAGAAAGCGAAGGGGATGTATCACTAAATCTTGAAGGCTTTTTTGTTCTTTAATGATCGAGTAATTATTCCTCGTCAAACTTCCTGATAGTTCGAGATCGATGGTGATGTCACTCAGAAAATGAAAGACTCTGCTGTATACCTGCATAATCAGTCATACAATCAACCTACTTGGGATCCTTGGCTTATATCCTATGGATCATGTCGTTTAGTGTGGACCATTTTTAAAATCATATTATACTTTATATATGGTCGATTCATATTCCAAATAGACAGAAGTTGTACTTACCAAGAGTCCGAGCGCAAACTTTACTCAAAGACAAATGAGGAAGATATCTAGACGTGTAATGATACCCAATGTATAATTGACTGATAATGGAACTCATTTCACAGAAAAATAATCTAATAGTGGACCGAATAATATTGAATGCCGTAATCTGTCTATACCTCCGCAACATCCTATGTCAAACGGTTCAGCAGAAAATATCTCTCGAATCGCGAAGAGTACTATCGCATCATTAAGTTCAATTAATCAAGACTTACTTACTTACTTACTTACGCCTGTTACCCCCAATGGAGCATAGGCCGCCCACCAGTTTTCTCCAACCAACTCTGTCCTGGGCTTCCTTCTCCAGTTCTATCCAATGTTTGTTCATTCCTCTCATATCTTCCTCTATTTCTCGGCATAATGTGTTCTTTGGCCTTCCTCTTTTCCTTTTGCCTTGAGGGTTCCATGTGAGGGCTTGTCTCGTGACGCAGTTAGGTGCTTTCAGCAATGTGTAATCAAGAAGGACAAGTTAAATCAATTGATAATTTCCAACGTTGATATTGTCATGCAAAACATTCAACAACTCATGATAATCCAGCTAAACTCTCCACATCTCATATATAAATAGAACACAATTGAAATTACAGTTTCACCAAGGAAATGATTATCGACTCACTACAGGAATTTGACATCACTGACTTTGGTAATCAAATGATCAAGACTGTTGATTTTAATGACAAATCAGTTCACAGTAGACATGTGGAACAACTGAAGAATTATCAAATACAAGATTCTTATTTCAATTCCCACCATTCTGTAACGGGCAGGTGTAGGGAATAATGAATACGTTTCTTGTACAAATCAATATTTTCCGTTGTGTTTCAGTCTAATGTAATAATCTAATAGCATTTCATGCTACGTTTTTCCAATCCTACTTCTTCTTTGTGTCTTGTGGAAGAAGTTCCAGTTGCATTGTGATTATTCATGTTGAGTGAAATGATGTCAACTTAACAGATGAATTAATAAACTGCAATTTTTCACGTATCACGAATCATCTCGAATTTCAGATGAAACAAACTTAGTTTTGAATTGCGATCAATACACGTATCAGGTGATTTGAATGATTTAGTTTTAAATTATCCCTATAGAGATTGTTATTATTCAATAAATACACTGAAAAAAAGGTTATCATTGTTCATTTGTGTTGTCATTTATACTTTACTGATTATTGCAGCCAACCAACAAACCAACCAGCTAACCAGGGATTTGCAATGTCTAGACAAAAGCAATGCTTGGACCATCCTATTTCAAAGAATATATTGGTTCTCAAGAATCATCAATAAAAAATGAAGCTCAAAATAACCGTAAAGAAAATTCCTTAGGTGAATTTATCGGAGTTATTCACCCAATCGATGGGAGGAAAAGTAGTTGCAATGAAAATGATTCTCGTGCAGAAGCACAACATAGTAGCAACCTTCCAACTAATCCCTCTACTAAATCTACACTGAATGAACAGGAATCGAATGAAAAAATCGATGACATCTCACACGCTGGTCATGATGTCCCAGAACAAACAATACAACAGGATTCAACTAGTCTACTTCCGGAAAAACGTGATGTTATAAAATTGGTGTTGGGTGATTTGCAGATTACGTTCAATCAGTTAAGATCATACAGTACAGATGTAACCAAAAGTGAAATTGTTGTAGAAGATTTAAGACAGCACATTGCTTTGAATGATAACCAAGTGATCAAAGAACAAACTAAAACCATTGATGATATTCAAGATACTAGTAGTCATTGGAACAAAGTGAGAATTACTCATATTGATGAGAGCCAAACATCAAGCCAACAATCATTATCCAGTGATAGCATATCCCTAAATTCACAGATTACATTGTCATCAGACAGTGATGATTATAAATGTTACTGTACACAGTCATTTGATCGTCCATGTAATATTTGTAATTGTCGAATCGATGATAAATGCATGAGATGTCAATTACTTAGTCTTTTAACTAAATATCTACCATCAAAACCTCGTTATGGTAAATATTTTGGAAAAAATGATAGATCAACTGAAATCAGACACTTTTGTACAAATCAATGCCAATGTCGAAGAGAATATTGTTTTGACTATTCATTTGAACATGATCAATATTCTGAACTGAAACAATATTTATCTCCACGAACTATTGAATTCATAAAAGCCATAGAATATCCTTATCAGTTAGATGATTTATTTGTGACTTCATTGGAAAAAAGAAGCAAACATCGATCACCTTCCAGAAAACAACTCTCTTTAAGCTTAAATGATAAAGACGAATATTGTGAGCAGCGCAGTGGCTCTCATCTGACATCTAATAACATATCACCATGGTATTCGGCAATCTTACCAATGATACCGCAACCACAACTTATAGTAGAACATGTACCATTTCCAATGATCATTCCAAAGTATCCTATAACAACATCGCAACCAATGTTTTTCTATTCTTTCCCTCAAACGAATTCTTACGTACCTCCTCCTTTTTACCCTAACTATACTACTTCACAAGTACCAGAACAAATATATTATGTTCTAGCAAACTATCACCATCCATGACGTATGAAATTAAGTGTTTTTGTAATCTTTTTTGCTAATGTCCATAATTTTAACTAAGTGAAACCAAATTTTCAGAGTCAATTGTCTTTTTGGTGCACAGTTTTGGAGGTTTGCGTTTTTACACATTTGAAATCATCAACCAATCATTGTTGGACCACCATTAGAAACCTGGAAGCACTGGACGGCCGTTTCGTCCTAGTATGAGACTCCTCAGCAGTACGCATCCACGACTTCTGCTCCTCACAGGCTTTGAACCCGGGACCTTTGGCATTGTAGGCGAACGCCTTACCATCGGACCACTGGGCCGGCATCCAACGGTGTTAATGTCTAACTCTGATTGATCTAGGGATTTTGCGCACTGCTGAGGAGTCCCATACTAGGACGAAACGGCCGTCCAGTGCTTCCAGGTTTCTAATGGTGGTCCAACAATGATTGATTGATGATTTCAGTTGTCTTTATTTACAGTTAAAGTATTGTCAAGTAACGATTGTGTTGAGGAAATTATATGAATAAAATTGAATCTGACGGAAAACGAAATCAACCAACTGATGCATCATTGTTAACTAAACTGAGTCAGTGTACTATGAGAATCGGTTTTAAATGTGTTCAATGTAATTTATGAAATCTGTTTAAGCGAATAATGTCAGATTTTCATGATGCTCATGTTTCACCTTTGACTCGTTTCCCGTTAAGTTTTAGGTTGTGATTTCTTCAGCTAATCAAAGTCTAATGAAAAAAGATATTTGTACACTAAAAGGCAACTTGTCAACTATGAAAAAACAATAGGGTAAAATTCAATTTTCAGAATGCATATTTCATACGAAATAGCGAAGATCTATATTCCCTTCGTCTATTATGTAGTTGAAAATCCAATGTTTTCCAACTAATTAATCACCAAACATCAAATGCCTCACACTTTATCAAGCTACCAGATATTGGCTACCAGTTATAAACAAATAGTTCTGCTTATATGTTGTTCCGTTTGAAAGACCGAATAGCTAAAATGACGAGCGATTTCATTTCCTAAGTATATTTCACATTTAAGATCAAGATGTGACTAATGGTGCTAAACGTGATCTTGATTCTGAAGTATTTCCTTGGTTAAACCAACTTCTCGAATAGGTACTTGCGCATGCTACTCTCGGTGAAGCATAGGCCGCTCACTAGCCTTCTTCAACCTGCTCTGTCCTGGTCCATTAGTCATTCCTTTACAGTGCTTTTCAATCGTCGTTCATTCTTTCTAATGTCTGCCTAATTTTAGCATAACGGATTTCAAATGAGGGCTTGTCTTGTACTGCAGTTGGCTGCTTTCATCAATGTATATTCAGTTCACTTCTAGCCCTTTTTCCTTATTTCTTCCTATACTGGAATACAGTTTACTCTATCTTAAAGTAGGTTGTTGCTGGTGGTGTCTTGATGACCGCTGCTTAGTATCTTGCATAGACAACCGGAAGATGCCTTTCGTGGTTCTAAAGTTTCCGACCCGTACAACAGAACCGTCTTGAAGTTTTAATTGAAAAGTCTGACTTTGTTGTACAACTTTTCTTGACACCGGGCTTTACGTGAAATGAGTCTGTCAGCTATCCCTCAATCATGATTCCACAATTAAGTTTATTGTAAGAATTCTTCAATTAGAAGTAGGTCGTCACATTATTTCTCATAACTTACAGCTAACATATAACGGAACCTATCAAAGAGTAATGTTTACTTCACTATAACACATGACGTTACATTATACACTTAGCAATTATTATAACATGAAACGGTTTCCTGAATATAAACGATTAGTACAAGTCAATACACAAAATAACTAGGAAAATAAGGACACGAACTGCAAATGTCAACACAAAAAGTAAGTGATTTTGATTGGATTTACAGAGTTAATCTTAAGCTGCTGAATGTCAAACAGTAATTCAAATGTGACATAAAATCCAACTCATATGTGCATCGTTCATCACCTTACAACAACGAAATGATATTATTTAGGCAAATCTGAGAATACTAGAACTATGTAATAATATCAGTTATGACAGAAACTATGCAACACAGAGAAAAAGTAGAAACGTGAATGGTGATTTCAGGACTAAGGTTCTAAAGAAAGGCCAAGTGAATGTGACTAGGTGTGTTAGGATATTCATCCAATATCCTAAGAGAATTATTTTTGAAAGTCTAATTCTATTGGTCAATTCCTACTGGTCAATATTATGATCGTCACGTACTTCAATATTTTTTTTATTGATCGTCCTGACTATCACTGTCACTTCGAATGTTGTTTCCTATCGGTCGTCTTAAGTGTCAGTGTCACAGACTTCAATGTTGTTTCCTATTCGACCTATTTGTATAAATTTGGATTATCTGTAACGTTTTATGGGCCGGACCTGGACCCAGATCGCTGGTCCGGGATCCTGATTCTCTCCTTAACTCAGACGTCGTGCTTTCTGAGATTGGAAAGAAATCAGCAATAGATTAGTAAATCCATGTATCTTCAACGAAATGCTTTTAGGCAGCAGCATATTCCCACACAAATGCGTGCACAAAGCAACATCGATTTCTTCGAATGACACAACACAGAACCGAATTGACCACATTTGCATCAGCAAAATGTTCAGGTGGACCATGGAGGATGAGAGGACAAAGAGTGGGGCTGACAGGTTTCCGACCATCACTTGATAATCTCCAAAATAAAAACGAAACTAAAGAAGAACTAGACTCTGGGCAAACAGTAGTACAAAAATCTAAAACGGGCATTCTTCGTGATACTGACCAACTCAACAAATTGAAGATAGGTCTGTGCTGTCAGTTCCACGCCTTGCACGATCTACTCAAAGCGTGGAAACTGTCATAGCGAACAACTGTTAAGGTTCTGAGCCACAATAAACACCATCAAAAGCAATAAATATTTGTTGAAAGCCTGGATAAGATTCAATGGCTGTGGGCGAACATAAAAAAGAGAGGGAAACATGGGCTAACCCTACGATAAGACGAAGAAGCATTGCTGAAAAAACCAGGTTATTAGTAAAAATCAAGAGGCAACAGATATTATAAGATTCATCTTAGTATGAGACTACTTCATAGAATTAATCCACGACCACATACATAGCAGGGCAAGTGGTTAGAAATAACCTTGTGGACTTAATTAATATACAAAGTAAGCCAGACATGTAATAAGCAGGGTAGGTGTGTACACACACATGAATAAAAGCAACATAGATATGAACGAATAACTGACAACGTCAAAAGACAAGTGAATAATAATTTGATTTGACTTGAAATTATAGAAACTACAAGTGGAATCGATGTTTGAAATGCACAAAATAGCATTGGAGTTAAATGTCCAAGATATTTCGCTCGCCACAATGTGTTGGTTCATCAAGTACCGCATAACAGGAAAGCTTGATTGGCCTTAGCCAATACATAACAACGGTGGCTTAAGGTAGATGTCAGTCTTCTCAGATTGGAACAAGTGTAGTTTCTAATCATTCTCTACGAATAAATCTACGAACGTGAAATATCTCTCCTTTAAATTTGAGGGGATTTAAGGAGAACTAACATTTTAAAATGAGCTCACTTGTGACTAGCTTCATGAAGAAATTCCAAGAGTTGTAGTGAGATGTGATAAATAGAGTTCAACTCTGTCGGCTGTAGGTTGTAACTACAAAAGACAAATGGGTGATGTTGCGCGAAATCTCTAGATTGATCACAGTCAGACATTAGCGAAGCTAGATAACAACCAAGTGGTTCAGATGTCAAGAGTTCGCCCTCAAGAACGAACATCCTGCGTTCGAATTCAGAAATGTGATGATAATAAGTCCCATATCAGCACGAAGCAGCCGTCCGGTGCTTCTAGATTTCTAATAATCCTCTAAAAATGATTGATTCATGATTTCGCTGTGTATAATCACTAATCTTCATTACTCAACTACCATACACGCACACACACACACACAAAAAACTTCAAACTTACTTAACATACAAGTAAGAAAGAGCAACAGAAAACTAAACGAATACAAGAATCCTACTCTTTTATATTCTGTACAAAAAATCAATATTCACAAAAATTTCTTCTCTTCAAAATAAAAATTCCTTTATTCTTTTAGTTTGTAAAATAAAATGTTGAATAATCCTTCAACACATACAGTATCAGACAAACCAACTCGGCAGTTTATTAGTAGGTAGTCAATCATGCATGCCAATACAAAATGTTCGCGAGTTGTTTTGCATCACTCTCTCAACTCACTCGTTATCAGCAATCTTAATTTTTCATTGAAAGTGTGATATCCTTATTTCTTTCAATGTTCTTGTTATAGAAGGAGTCGTAATAAAAAGTGAAAAAGTATTAGTAGTAGTATTAGTAGTAGTAGTAGTAGTAGTATAAGTGAATATCCATAAAAATTCTCAATTCATGAAAAAAGAATTCATTACCCGATTGTTTATGCATTCAATAATGTTTGTGGACAATTGATTGTCTTTTGTTCATCTGAAAAATTTCGCCCCAATTCACTGGGATTCATCATAATTCAAATGTTTGTGGTATTAAAACAAATCAGTATAAAAATCGATGAACCTTCTCTGGCAACAATTGAACATTGATTCACTATAATAAAGTAATGAGTGAATGAATGAATATGTAACATTGAATGTCGGGGATCAGTGATTGGTTTTTTTAAGAGAAAGAAGCCAAAGTTCACTAGTTCAAAAACGCGCTGTTCATTTGTAGAATTTGTAGAATTCAAAATATATTCTCGATTTTTTAGCAACTGTATCATACAGTTTGATTTACATCAATTGCAAACCAGATAAAATCCATAGTATAACTAGTAAACACCATACAATCAATGGTATGATACATAGATACCAATATTTGGATTGAAAAGGATTTTTATAAATATTAAAACGAGATTTTTTCTTTGTTTTGTCTTGTTTCGCATTATTCTGTAACATTTTATACACATACAAATCTGAGAGTTGATGTAAACCAGCGTAATGACGAAATTCCTCTATTTCATCAGTATCCATTGTAGTGGTTTGCTTATTTAATAAATGTAATTTATTGTTAGATTTTTGATCTGATTCACTGGTAGATGAATTGACTGTTTTAGAAGTAGAAGAAGAAGGATTCAAGACTTGCGTTAATAAATTCATAGTGTCATTAGATAAATCTTGATTGAAATGAGAAGACAACATATAATTTGGATATTCCTGATTAGAATAGTTATTATTGGAATATTGATTTTGAAGTAGAAGAAATCGATCAATATCCAATTGACTGGATACATTTTTTTTATCATCCTCTCCAAAATGCTCATCATAACTAGCATGTATTTGTGGATAGTGAATGTGAACATTTTCCATGTTCTGTTGATTAGTTCTTTTAGATAAATCATTGGTTAATTTTGTCTTGCGTGAATGCTCACTTTTTAATTGATTCCTCTTAATCCGAGCATTGCCTCGCACCGATTCCATTAGATCACGTGATTTTCGCATTGATTCCGCAGAATTATGTTGCATTTTTTGTTCGGTCACATGGAAATAATCAGACATTTCATTGGTATGCATTACTTTTGCCCATCGAATTCTATTTTTTTCATTAGGAGTAGCCGTTGATTTTGTCAAATAATAATTATTATTATTGTTTGTAGGAATTTTTCTTTGTACTTTTTGTAAAGTTAATTCATTTCGATTTCGGCTAATTTTCCCGCCCAACATTGATTGACTTACTACCACTCCCATTGGTTTTTGACTCAGATACTTTTTCTTACGTTTATTCTGAGCTACGTGCTTCTTCATTGCTAACTCATGTGAGTTAAATAAAACAAGATTGTTAGAGATAATCAATCAATCAATCAATCGGCTGGCTGATAAGTTCAAGAGCATTTTCTGTTCTCATTACATCATCTCTCAATCCACTGGTTGAATGGGCTAACAACCAGTTAGTTAGTTAGTTAGTTAGTTAGTTAGTTAGTAAGTAAGTACAAGAAGGGAAACAATAATTAATGAATAGTGATTACAACAACATTTCTAGTATATTTATTTATTCGTCTAATTTCTTCTGTTCAACTGCCTATTTAAAATACGTCATTCAAGTCACGTGACGCCTGTATTGATCGCCCTAGTCGACACTACGTTTGTTCTGCTTTTTTATTCAAGATGTTGTGATATGTTATTATTATTATTATTATTATTATTACATTGTCAAGTAGTTCAATGTTTCCAGGTAGCTAGAATTTTGCTTACCTATTAATTTTTTTTGCAATATTTGGAGACTGATGAAACATTTGCACAAGTCTTTACATACTTCTAATATGATGGATGATAGGTAGTAGTAGTAGTAGTAATCATGAGGATGAAGTCATATAATGTTGTATTTCAATCTAAACTCATGTTTAATGGAAGGGTTAGTGAAGTTATGGAAATAACATTTTACCGTAAGACCAATTAATGTATTGTGCCAACCCATTTTCCTGGATTACTTCATTCATTCAAGTTGATCAAAATGTAACTGGTATTAAGTGAACATTGGATCGTAATGAGGTTTAAGTAGACACAACATAACAATTTTTAATTGTACAAGAAACCTATTCACTATCGTATCATTTCACCAAGTCACTGGATATCTGACTGAACTATATTAAGGGAAGTGAAGTAGGAGTTCAACCATGTCGAGTGTAGGCAGTAACCACCGAAGATAAATGGGTAGGGGTCCCTAGATTCCTAGATCCATTGGAGTGGTCTATGGGTTAGGCGTTCGCGCACAATTCTGAAGGTCGCGGGTTCGAATCCTGCGGGAACAAGAGTCGTGGATGCACACTGCCACTGATGAGTCCCAGACCAGGACGAAACGGGCTCCAATGCTTCCAGGTTTCTAATGGTTGTCTAACAATCATTGATTGATGATTTTAAATGTGTTAAAACACTAATCTCCATAACTCTAATTAAAAATATCGTAAATTTATTCGTTGTTACGTATAGAGTATTTATGATGTGTCATTGCAAAATTGAGACAGTATTTTACAAGACTGGACATTGATAACGTAGAACTTGTTACACAGTTTTCAATTCATTTAGTTTCATACAGGGAGTCATTAAAACGGAGGGGTTGAGAAACATTACCAAAGAAATGTAAGCAGCGATATGAGTAGTGACAATACTTAGTTACTTACTTACTTACTTACGCCTGTTACCCCAATAGAACATAGGCCACCGACCAGTACTCTCCAAACTACTCGGTCCTGGACTCCCCTTTCCAGTTCCTCCCAGTTTTTGTTCATTTTTCCCATGTCTTTTACTAATGTGCTCTTTTACCTTCCTTTGACCTTGAGGGTTTTAAGAGAGGATTTGTCTTGTGACGCAGTTGGATGCTTTTCGCAATGTGTGTCCTATCCACTTCTAGCGCTTCTTCTTAATTTTTGCTGATGGTGTACGGCAAACGAATCCTAATTATTTTTCGTAGACGACTGTTTAGGAATACTTGTATCTTATGAATGAAGGCTTCCTTAGTTCTTCAAGTTTCCGCTCTTTACGGTAGAACTGTTCTGACATTTGTGTTGAAAATGATGATTTTGGTGTTGATTTATATTTGTTTGCAGTTGAAGATATTTTTCAGTAGTAGAAATGCAGCCCTTGATTTGCCGAAACGCGCCCTCACATACGGAATCGGATCCATCTTGGTTGTCGATGATGATGCCCAGATATATGTGCAAAGGTGTTAGCGTCCTCCAAAGAATCTCCATCAAGAGTGATTTGGTTGGTGCATGTTGTGTTGTATCGTAGAGTCTTGCTTTTTCCCTTTATGTATGTTGTGAACTACTGCTGCAGATAATAAATATAAGACAAAAATTATGATTGTGGAATCTGTGGAATAAAAACTATCAAGTAATTAAAAATTCTAGATTTTAACAGATAACAACATTCGATGAATGCATGTGCGTCATTCCTATTGATTCTATGCCATGTGAGCTGATGTCTGTGAACTTCAGTCCTGATAATCACTAATGTCGTACACCGAAAATTCGAGTCCATCAAAGTGGCTCAGACTAACATTTGGAAAGCTGATGGAATATTGACCTACTCGCATACCTGCGAGCATTGGGGTTCATATAGGCAGTGATAGTGCACATATGTCAGCACATTAACCTCTAAAGATTCACTTTCTTATCAAGCTTATCGTTCTTTTGTAATCTTCGTCCAACCTCACCATAAGGTAACCAGTGGTCCCAACCTAAACAAAAAATGGTTTGGCCAAATTCACTACCAAATATTAGTTATCTACGAATGTAACTCATCATCACATCAACCTCAACGCTAAGGTGAACAGGGCTGGTCCACTCACGGGCTCTTCAAATTACTCTACTGACCAGTCTCGCTGTTCTTGAAGATCAGTGATTGTTTAGCCTTCCTTGTTCTATTTAGATCGCCCTGATTTTACACATATCTCCGTCTATCAGCTGTCATGCTCTTCTTCACATGCTTTTTTGTTTCCGTGTATTCAGCTGGTGCCTTGACTTCCTATGCTTTGCTTCCTAAATTAGTTTCCGTGATACCAACAGAGAGATAAACTTGGGCCATGTTTGTCCACAAGTAATCCACAACTTTGGCATAGCCGATTATTCCAACTGCAAAGGAACGCGTGCCAGACATCTCCACAGTCTAATATACCGAAGAAGGAAGGGCTGTGAAGTGTGTCAAGTGAACAGAAGAAAAGCAAAAAGTTGGGTGTCCGTCCGTGCATCGAAAACCTGCGCCATTGCAAACGATTTTGAGCCATGTTAGTCAAGGTCTCTAATCATCGACGACTTTTGATTCGCCGACCCCAACCAGGTAGTAGACACCTACCACCATGACCCAGTCCAGTTGACAGTGACTTCATGTATTTCTGCCATGTTTAGGTTTCGTCAACCCTTGCTTTCTTCCAACCTACTCCAACACCACAAAACATAGCTCGTTGAGGCAGTCGGTGGTTGGAGATTCGTAACACATGTCCCAACCACCTCAACTGATGAAGTTTCACTACTTCATCAATTGATCTGCCATCCTTACCTAGTACTCGCTTCCTAATGGCAACACTGACCACTCGGTTGTCCCACGATACTTGAACAATCGTTCGGATACTTGTAACCTACGAATATCTTCTACTCTGACTGGTCATGTTTCGCAACTATAAAGTAGGACGGAGCGTACTGCTGTGCAGTAGACTCAACCTTTGATTAGCAAACGGATATCTCGTCCATGCCATAAGTGACAAAAGTCGGCAAAAGCCAATCGAGGCTTCTGTATCCGTGCTGAGATTTCGTCAGTCACCAGGCCATCAGCGCCGTTGAGACTCCCTAGACTGGTGAAGCGGTCGACATGCTCGACTACTTCACTCCCTGTCACCAGTTCATGTGCTGATACAAGCCAATCCCGAAGCAATACTTTGCGTTTCGAGGGGTAAAACCGCACCACGAACATTCTTGCATTGTCGCTTAGGGAAATCTGGAGGCACTGTATTTTCTCAGCGTCTTCATCAACTAGAACTATGTTATCGGCATACTATAAGTCGACAAGCGTGTCTCCCGGTAGAAGCTACATCCTTGAAGAGTCACATGAAAATAATTTTATTTCTGAAAGAATATCTATGACAAAGTTAAACGAAAATGGGGAAAGTGGACAGCCCTGACGGACACCACTTGCAGTAACCAATGCCGATGACACTTCGCCATAAGCTTTAACTCAACCATTAGTGCATGAGTGGATAGCTTGCACAGGGTTAATGTGCTTCTTCGGTACACCTTTTAATGACAGACATTGCCACTTTTCCGCTCTTCCTGTGACCTTACCGTCGGAGGCGGAAATCCACGGAATAAGGTGAGATGTGACATTTTTCTTGGGTCTCAAGGAAAACACCTTACTTCCATCACACTCCTCTACAGTCAGCAGTACCACTTTCTCCGCCCCCCCCCCCTCGGTTCATTCGTTCAGTTCTGACGAAAACAATCATTCTGCAAGTTTTATAAACTTATGCCACCGAGTCCATCAACATTTGCATATTACTAATCAATAATTAAAGTAGCATAAATCAGTTTCAGAAAATATTTTGTTTTCAATGGAAATTACAGTAGAGTTTTAAGAAAAAAAATCAGTACATAAATAAATAATAGTATGAAAATGATGATGGATGTTTCGGTCATAGAAAAAAAAACTGAGCATTAGAAAAATACAAAAATGGTTTATTTTCAAACATTATACATACTGATAGAGTAGGGTATGTGTGTTTTTGGTAGACCATAATATACATCATATATATACATATACACATATAGATCTGTTATGATACATTTTTCATGTTTGCGTATAGTTAGGATAATAGGGCGGAATGTAAGAATTCATTTGAGGGAAAGGATACGAAAACATTGGCTGCGATGTTGTCGTAGGATACTGTGGAACGATCACTGGCACTGGTACATGTCTTACTATAAGTCGCGGTTGCGGTGCCATCGGCAAGAGTGTCGGATACCATGGGGATATGTTCGGTGGTAGATGAGAATCAGCAGTATGCCGTGTCTGTGACCGTTGCTGTTGTCGTTGCTGCTGCTGCCTAAGGGGGTACTGGCGGTAGGTTTGTTTCATCTTAACATTTCGATTCGTTGAGACAGGTTTATTAGGCCTGGAATATGATCGATACTTTGTTGGTTTTGCCAGACGACTTGTGCATAAATCATCATCATCCTCATCATCATCGTCATCTTCATCATCATCATCAATGAGTACGGTAGAATTTTTCATCGCCTGTAATAAACGAATAGTTTGAGGCGATAAATAGTGTTTCAAATCAGATGATTGAAAATAATACGGATATTGTTTATCCGATATATTGTTGTCACAACAACAAAAACATTCTTTTGGACGTGAAGATTTTTCGGTAAAACATGGTTTTCTTAAATCTTTTGATGATTTATCATTCTCGCCAAAATGTTTACAAGAACGTGAATGTGATGGTAAATATTTTGTTAAAAGATTGAGTAAATGACATTTCATGCATGATTGTATACAATTACTACATTTGCAATAATCTTGACTATTGAATGAAAATGTATTTTTTGATTGTACAGATAAATTTTCACAGGATGATGATGCTTGACTTGATATTTTTCTGGTTGGTTTGATTGAATGATTTTTTAAAGTTGCACTTTTCTTTTGAATCAATTGATTCGCATGAATATCAGTAGTTTTTACTTTACTCTTATGACTACTACTATCCAACTGGACAGAGGATTCCGTTTGTTTAGTATGATGATTGTCAGACTTAGCTAAATTCGGTGTTTCAGTCTTTTTAATTTCACCACGGATTGTTTGTGACTTACTGGCATCGACTGAGTCACGTTGATCATTTTTTTGTGGTATTCTCTTTGAATCATCACTGGTCACTTCATCGTGTTTGTCCTGATCAAGTTGACTGGTGGTGCTTTGTGATTTCGGATCACTTTTATCAGTTTGTTGACTGGATTCGTCGGATTTATTCTCAGATGATGAGCTTCGATCTTTACTGGTTTTGAATTCAGTTTTCTGTTGACCAATATTACTTGGTTTTGATTGTTGTGGTCTGCTGGTTTGTTGTGATTTCACTTGTCGTCTATTAGTTGGAGAAGGAGATTGGTGTTTTTGTGTAGATGATAAATATTTTGATTTATCTACAGTCACATCACTAGTTTTAACAGGTCTATTTACACTACTTGCACTACGTAATCGATTAATCTTACTAATTTCTTGATTGTTCTGTACTTGATTCGCTTGCAGTTTGTCATTTTGATCAGTACTCTCGGCTACCCTCTTCGACTCTTCATCATCCGATTCCTTTTGTGTCATTTCAGTTTGTTTTAATTGATCGAGTTGATTGGTACTTTTCGATTTAAAGATATTTTTCACAGCCTGTTGATTAGATCCCTTGAATTTATTGATTGATGACGCTAATTGACCAAAACCTTTTTCCTTCATGTTTTTCAACTCACTTAGATGTTGACCAAGAAAGGTTAGTTTCGATGGCTCTGCAGCCATATCACTAGCTTTACCAGTTCCACTTGCACTGCTTGCATTGCGTAATCGACTAGTCTTACTCATTTCTTGATTAGCATGCAGTTGTTTATCATTTTGATCAGTTGTCTGTGCTGCCCTCCTCAATTGTGCATTACCTAATTCCTTTGGTGTCATTTCATTTTGTTTTAGTTGATCGAGTTGATTTGTACTTTTCGATTTGAAGACATTTTTAACAGCCTGTTGATGGGATAAGTCCTTGAATTTATTGACTGACGATGTTAAATGACTAAAACCTTTTTCTTTCATGTTTTTCAATTCATTTAAATGTTGACCAATACTGGTGGTTGGTTTTGATTGTAGTGAATGTTGTATACTTTGTGGTTTTATCGGTTTGTTAATCGGAGAAGTGTGTTGTTGTTGTTGTTGTTGTTGCTTAGTTGTTGTTGTTGTTGGTACATTTTTCGGCTTTTCAACAGTCATCTCATTCGTTCTACCCGTTTTACTGATGATTTGACGATATGGCTTTGAAACGTCACCGGGTACTTTCATCTTTTGTAAATTAGCACTCTGAGGACTTTTCAGCACTGTTCCAACCGTGTCACGTGATCTCGGAGGTAGATTAGTGGATGCTTGTGGCCGTAATTGTTGTGGATTATATGAAGAGGATGAAGGTCTGTTGACACCAATTTTTTCCTGCGGTCTCGTCTTTTCATCAAATTCAGTTCTGGCAGACGGACTGACAGGTGATTTCTTTCCGTGCTCTTCATCATCTGGACGAACTTTATTCCGACTGGCGCCAAATCGTTTTCCACAGATTCCATGAAAAATTCCCGTCAATTTGCTCAGAAACTTTTTCCCACCTTTATTCGGTGCACCGGTCTTCATTGCTTAATCTCGTGAGTGAGATCGGTCACAAAATTTGATGATCCATTTTTGTCTTCTGACATTTCAATTCTTCACTGGTTGATTGATCGGGTTGGATTGTGCAACCACCAGTTAGTACGTAAAAATGTCCATTAGAAATGCATAGTGAGATTACATATTTCCAATGAATCTATTTATTTAATTATTAATTTGAATCAACCGAAAGGGATTGCTTGACAAATCAATCCTTCAAGTCACGTGATGCCTGTATTGATCGTGATTCGACACTGGAGATTTGTTATGTGTTTTTGTATTTAAAGAGGATTTGTGATAATTTGGTTGTTTTTTTTTAAAAAATTATCGAGTATTTCATTTTGTGAATAGGACATCATTGTTTAAGGTAACAGGAAGAATCAAAATGCCGACAGGAACTTCATTGACGATATATATATATATACAAGGAAGAACTTGGAATCAAAAAGCAAGCAGTTTGAATTGCTAATGAATCATGACATCAGAGTGAAACACAATGGAAACTATTGATTTGTACAAGGAATGTATTCATTGTCAACCACACCCGCCTGACGCATGTTGAATGGCGTCTATCTACGTGTTCATCAAGTAGTCTTCGTTTCTTTGTGAATCCACACGATTTTTTGAATTGTTCAGTTGCGCGATTTTCATTTTTGTCTCCTAAAGGAAATCCAGAATTATCCGAAGAGTCTTGATTAAACAAGGGCATCAATGGAATCGAAGTTGGAACTATGTATTTCGGAAGTTCGCAATTATCTACTAGAGAAGGATTATTAGTTATAGAATGGTCAGAATTATAATTAAAATTGCCTAGTTCATCATTCTTCACTTGATCCACATGTTTGTCAACAATCTTTATCATCTGATTAACTCACTACTGTGTATTGAAAATCCTGTAGTGTGAGTCGACAATGATATCCTCGGTGAAACTGTATTTTTGATGATGTTTTATCTATCGAATGAGTCTGAGGTTTTGAAGAGTTTCGCTGAACTTGCTTCAATTGGTGAATATTTCGCATTACGATATTGACGTTGGAAGTGATCAATGGATTTTTCTTGACCTTATAGATTACTTGGATTTACTGATGCGATTGCACTCTTGAAGATTGGAGGGACATTTTCAGCTGAACCATTAGAGTGAGAATGTCTTGGAAGTGTAAACAGATAATGGCATCCAATATCATAGGGCTCACTATTGAATTCTTTTTCTGTGAAATGAGTTTTATTATCAGTCAGTAATACATCGGGTATCAATTCACGAATAAATATCTTCCTCATTGCTGTTTGAATTAAGTACACGCTACGATTGTTTGCAAGTACCACTCCTTATCATTCGGAATTTGAATCTATGGTGACCATAGCATGATACAAGTACAGAAATGGTCCAGACTAATCGATATGTTCCATCAGATACAGGCCAAGGATCTCAAGTAGGTTCATTGTATGACAACATATTACTTAGGTATGCTAGAGAGGTTTCTGATTGATATCAGCATCAATCTCAGACAAGAGAATGATTTCATTTTCTCTGCTTCTAGATGAACAGAGAAGTGGTCATTTGATACTGCAGATCTAAGTGTAGGCGAAATCATTAATCTGTTATTCAAGAACAAAAAGCCTTCAAGATTTACTGTTATATCGTCTATCCTATTGTAAAACTCATGAAACCTACGCTTGTACTGAATATTTCACAATGTTTCCATTGGAAATTTATTAGTTTTAAAATATCCAAAAGCATCCATTACAAGTTCTGCTACATCGACAGGCAATGACTAAACCAGCATGCAATCGTTTTCATTTTATGACTTTTGAAAATATGAACACCTCTTTGGATCACATGGCATCACGGCTGATCGAATAGTTAGTGGTGAACGTTTGCCGCAGCTTTCCTCAGATAATTGCCTATCTCTGGATTATACTAACTTGATTGGTCGTAAAGTCACATTAAAACTCCAGTAATTACGTTCAAACAACCATGATGTCATTATCAAGGCACACTATCAAGTAGCTCCATAACATGACAAAAATAGTTGTCAGTTAATTCCTGGGTTTTAACGATTGTTTATAGCAATGACCAAACTGGTCGATAAGTAGTTGTCTTGACCAAAATACATTCTCACTCACTGTATATTGATTGATAATGTTTTCTGGGTGACTAGCTCCATGAGGAATCTTCTCCGAATTTTAGTGGGAAGTCGTTACTAGTGAAGTTCAACTTGCTCGGGTGTAGACTGTAACTAATGAAGAATGTGTATGAGGTTGAGCAATACGGTGAATTGATCGCAGCTAGACATGAAAACCGTAAGATACCGGCCCAGTGGTCCTGAGGCTAGGCATTCACGCGCAAAAACGAAGGTCCTGGGTTCGAATCCTGCGTGGTACAGAAGTCATGGATGCGTACTGCTGATGAGTCCCATACCAGGACGAAACGGCCGTCCAGTGCTTCCAGGTTTCTAATGGTAGTCTAACCTTGATCGATTCATGATTAAAATGATTATCTTTCATTGTAAAATAATTTCCTGTCACAAGTGAACAAGTAGTAGATATCAGAGTGGTAAGTTGTGTAAGTATTCAACATGATTTTACAAAGGTCTACCTGCTTTTTGTCTAAAAGAAAATTTCCATTCTGTCATTTTGTGAAAGGTTTTAAATACCAATAGCGAAAAATTAGATTTGAACAATGAACAGAGGTAATAGATATTGGTTAACAGTGGAATCCGAAACGAGCATTTCTTTCTGTTTGTGATTCGTTGACTGACTGAAAATTGATTTAAATTTTTTGGGAAAAACTAATCACATTTTCAAATACATCATGTTTTAAATGTTTCAAAATAGGCGCCTATTAACGAAATTATCATCCGGATTCAATGTTCAACAAAAGTACAAATGAATAGTAATTTTTTCAACATGTTTGATTTAGATTCTGAATGTAATGAAATTAGAGTGTTTGTATTTTTTTCGAAATATAATAAGTAGACGAGTTAGAGAAAAAAAGATTTTTTTAAAAATTATATTGAATAATTGTAAATTGACATGTATAAGAATGTAAAGTCGCATTGCTTTGTGAAACGTAATTTAATACAGACGAACTCATGAATCATGACAGTGTTGTATGGTAGTTACATCCAAGTGAAATGTAAGTCATTGTTAACGCACAAATAAATGCATTCTTATGTTAAAATTACAGGACATTAACTCTTCAAAGGCCATTTATTCTAATATGTTTGTGTGATTGACATCATTGTGTTTGATCAAGGATGAAATGGAGAAGAATATGCAGAATGGTTGATTTCGACACAATCAAAACTGATATTTTCAATCAGAATACAATTGATGTGCAGTACCATAGTGTGTTCGTAATAATTTTGAAAAAAATAGTTTTCCCTATACGTCAGGTTCGTTCATTTTCATGTAGTTAGTGGTTTTCAGTAGTTCAATGTGACAATTCACCATCAGACACTATGTATAGTGAATCGCAAAATTTTCGTGGCCAATTGCCATGTTTTATTCCTAGTGCTTGAAGTAGACTGCACCGCTAACTATTTCAATTATCCCACCATATTCATACATCATTGTTTATTGAACATTCCACATTGTGATTGATAATTTGAAATTTTATTTCAACTCTGAATTGATTAGAATTGATGTTCAATAGACCACATGACCGTATGTTGATGAAATAGAGAAAATTACAAAGTAATTAACGTGAATTACATGCGTTCTGTTATTAACATACGTGTAATTAGATAGGTTTCTGGACTGACCGATTGGTTTGGAAGAACACGTTGATGAAAAACGCTTTGTTATTTCGGTTCGAAAAAATATGAACACTATTAAGGTTGTTTCAAGTAAAACGTATCAACGATGCAAACAAATGACAGCTCAAATCTTATTTCAACGCTAGTTTAGTCCACAGTGTCGATATAAGCTTTCTCCGAATTGCATAACTAAGAAGTATATTAGTTTTGAGTTATGAGGATCGATTCATGATTTCCAAGGGAAAGGAGTGTGTGTACACACTGAAAAAAATATTGATTAGGTTGCTGTTAGGTTCGTCACTAGGTACGCTTGAAGCTATTATGAGTTCACCTTAGTCGATAAACGCGAAAGAGACAATGAATCAGCGTCCAGTTAGGCTACCTTGATACCCAAACTGCAAAAGAGAAGTCTTGAAAGTGTATTCTAAAAACACCCAACAAGCACAATACAATCGAGCGTACAACTCTCGTTTATTTATACATCATAGAAACGTCCTTGGGACAGTCACAAAAATAGCGCACTCGAATACACAGCAGAGCCAATCACAACCATGGATATTCCTGGTGATAAATGAAATCTCAAGGTCGACTGATCAGCTCATGCTGGCAAACGTGAAATCCAAAATAAGGCATTTATCAAGTGAGTTCTGGGGATCTAACATCCCTAACAGTTGCCATTACGTGACGAGGCTGATTTTCGCGCTGATGATAATGATGCTCATCAAAGTATCAAGATTTTATGCCAGTGGGACAAGGTGAATTGAGTGACAGTTTAAAAACATATCTGTTCAATCCAACAAGCTACCCACAACATCTCCCCAAATTTCATTACCTACTGTCCTAGGTGTGATTTCTATTCAGTGGGATTATTTATCAAGATGATACTGGTAGATTGAGAAGAGAAATCGACACAATTCAATCAGGACCAGACGGAGCAGTGACAAAATAATAGCGATTCCCAACATCACATATGAACTTCATTAAAACATTCTCAAAGTGTGTTATTTCACTGCTCCTTCAAAGCGAAGTTGTTATTAGTTATTTTTTACGGAAATCAGTCTTCTACAACACACATCTAACTGGGACAGTTATATTCAATAGGCTTGTAAATTATATCAAACTATTTTCTGATTCACGCTATATAACTAAACGAACTAATGCAGTTCGTTAAAAAGCACTTACAACTTTATTTTATTATCAATGTGTAGTTTAGCATGCATAGATTCCGTC